TGTAAAAATGTGTGTTACTTTTTTAGTCTTTTTTTAATATCCATCTTTTAATTAGTACATTAAATGTGGGAGATAAAGGTAAGACAGGGGGACATAATAAAACTGATGCGGATAATATGAAGAAAAAAAAATTAAACGAGGTAAAAAAAATTGAGATTCCTTATCTAAGATCAAAGCAAAATCACCCAATTAAATTTTATATTTAGGATCAAGAGGGGTCGGAAAATGTTGAAAGAACTGTTGTACTTCCATGAAATTTCTAGTTTACCCTAAACAATAAAAGTTAAAAAATGAAAGAGTTTGTTGACTTGGGCACAAAAAGACCGTAATAAAAACTTTTCATCATTTCATCAAATTTTCCGAACAGTTTAGTTGATTGTTTCGTTGTTCGATTAAATGATGAAAAATATAAAAAGATTAATAAAATTTTCAATGTTTCAAATTTATCCTATAAATTTGTTTTTTTTATCGATTTAGTTCTTTACATTTTATTAAATTATTTTGTTAGTCCTTTGATTTTTAAAATAAAAATTGACTCTTAAATTAATTTAATGTGCAAAGTATATTGATAATTTGACACATATGTATAGTTAAATAAGAATAAATTAGCTTTTAAATTAATTTAATTTTTATTAATCTAGCCTCTTACACTAGCTTTTTTTTTTAATTTCTGAATCTATTTTTTCTACCTAAATAATTACATTTTTATTAATTTACTTGAGTTTTATTTTTACTAATATTCTATCATTCATGTCAATAAATTTTAACATTATTAGATTCTTTTTAAACAATAAAGATCAAATTGATAACTGAAACAAAGTTAATGAATTAAATTGATAAGAATTAGGCATGAAAAATGAAATTAATAATATATAATAGCTTAAAAGGTTAAATTTTTTATTATTCCAAAATAAAACATGGAGCTTAGTTCCATGCCTACATACCGTGATCATTACATTTTTTTTGTTTTCATTTTCATTTTATATCTTTAAATTTTTATATGAAATTAAAATCTTCACATTGATAAAAGTATTTTTGGTAAGAATAAAAAGTTAATTTTGTCGGCAGTAAAAACTTATCTCCTGAAAAATATTAAAACCAATAGATAGAGACCTCCTATAATTAAATATAAAATGAAGTTAGAATAATTAATATTTTGTTACCATTTTTATTTTTTGTTTATTTATTATCATTTGAATTTTTAAATAAAAATTTCTAATGAAACGAAAAATTGGAAAGTTTATATATATATATATATATATAATTTTTTTTTTACACTTTCAAGGTTATAGCTAAAGTTTCTTAATAAGCATGAAGTTTGTTAACTTCATTTATATTTAGGACTAGAGTGGGAGTTGTTTGGGAAAATATATTTACCAGTCTTTATAATTTCACTTTCACTCAATTTTAGATTAAGTCCCTGTAATTTATTTTTTAATTAAATCCTTATAATTTAATAAATTAAATTTTTTAATCCCTAAAAGTTAAAATCCTTAATATTTTAATTAAAAAAAATTAAGAACTTTTATAATTTATTAAATGATTATATAACTTTAAAATTAATTACTTAATTTTTATAACTTAAAATTTATATAATAAGGTTGTTTTTTTAAATATATTTTTATATACAGAATTTTCATAAAAATTAATAAAAATATAAATAGCATATTAAATCAAATTTTCTTTTATGGTCCCTCTCATAAAGCACAATCTAAAAATATTTTTTGGTCCTTAATATAAAACATATTATAGGATATTAATTACATTTTTAATATTATTCATATTTAAAATTATTAAATATGAGAGAAAGTAATGTAAATTTAAAATTTTTTATTTAAATAATAATAAAATTAAAAATTTATTATATTTTAATACAAAATTAATAACTTAAGTGCTTCTCCTTCAATAACTAAATGGAATAAATGAAAGAAAAAGAGAATGCTAACAGTGGATAAGTGCTAAATCACATGTGCAAGTACAACTCTTCTGCCATTAATTTTGTAACCACTGGATAAAACCTTGGCTTTCCCAGAAAGTTACAGCCTTGTAATTAATTAATATTCTCGACAGTTAATTACATACTTTTCTCATTTTATTTATATGGTAGAAAGTGAATAATTATTTTCATCCTACTTATAGAAGATAGAGTAATATTTTTAGCTCTATATATTTATAGAAAAGATAATATTTATTTTAGTCCTATGTATAAAATATTTTAATGATTATTGTATCTATCTGTATCTTCTTTTTCCAATTAAATATTGTGAATATTAGTAAATGTTAGAGTATTTTATTGTTAAAGTATATATATATTTAATAGGAGTAAAATTAAAAACTTATTTAATTTTTAAATAGAGTTAATGATATTAAATGTTTTTCTTGATTCAAATTTTACCTTTGTTTATTTATTGTCATTTAAATTTCTAAACAACAATTTATTACCATTGTTAATTACAAAGAAAAGTAAAATTAAAAAGTTATAAATTTTTTTATACAATTTCAAGGTTATAGCTAACATTTATTAATAAGCGTGAATTTTGTTAATTTTATCTTATATTTAGGACTAGAGAAGGATTTTTTAGGAAAAATATATTTGCTAGTTTTTATAGTTACACTCAATTTTGAATTAAGCCAATGAAATTTATTTTATTTTAATTGAGTCCTTATAATTTGATCAATTAAATTTTTTAATCCCTCAAGATTAAGATCCTTAATATTTTCCTTTAAAAAACAAAATTAAGAAATTTTATATTTTTAATAAATAAGTATATGAATTTAGAATTAATTACATAATTTTTATAATCCAAATTTATATAATTAGTTTGTCTTTTAAATATTTTTTATACAAATAGGATTTTACTAAAAAATTAATAAAATATAAGTAGTGTATTAAATCAAATTTTCTTTTTTAGTTTCTCTTATAAGGCGCAATGTAGAAATATTTTTTTATCTTTAATATAATACTCCCTTCGTCCTAAATTATAAAACACTTTTAGAAAAGATTCAGCATCCCAAAATATAAGATACTTTGATTAAAAAAGGTTTCATTAATGATACTTTTCTAATATTACCCTTATTATATATTATCTATCTTCAAAATTCTTTCATCAATGGAATATTAAATAAAATTTTTTAAAAAAAATTTATATTTTGATCTTGAAAAAATAATGTTGTAAAGTGTATTATCAAGCTTTTATTAGTATATGAAATTTTGTCTAAAAATATCTTATAATGTGGGATGGAGGAATGCATATTATAAGGTATTAATTACATTTTTTAATATTACCCATATTTAAAATAATCAATTATGAGAGAGAATGTAATATAAATTAAAGTTTTTATTTAAATAATAATAAAATTAAAAATTTATTATATTTTTATACTTAAACAAAAACTTAACTACTTATTCTTAAATAAAAACTAGATGGAGTAAATGAAAGGAAAAGAAAATGCTAACTGTAGATTAGAAATGTGCTAAATCACATGTGCAAGTACAGCTTTACTCTTCTTTCTATCGTTAATTTTGTAACTACAGGGGGGAAAAAAAACTTAGTTTTTTCAAAAAGTGATAGACTTCCTTGTTTAGTTGTCATAATTAATTAATATTATCAATAGTTAATTACATATACTCCTGTTGTTCTGTATATATGGTAGGAAAATAGTAATTATTTTAATCTTATTTATAGAAGATAAAGTAATTATTATGGCCCTATTTATGGAAAAGATTATATTTGTTTTAATTTTATTTATAGAATATTTTGATAATTATTGTGTTCATATGTAACTTTTTTCTTATTAAATATTGTGAAGATTATTAAATATTAAAGTATTTTATTTTTAAAATATATATATATATATATATTAAATAGGAGTAAAGTTAAAATCTTGTTAAATTTTTTAAATAGAGTTAATGATATTAAATATTTTTCTTAATTTAAATGAAAATATTAAATATTAAAAGTAATTTATAAATAAAATTTAAAGAGTAATAAATTAAAAATTAAGAAATTTTGGGGCCAAATAGAACTCCTTATCACAAATAAAAAGTATTTTCTTTTTTTTTTTTAAATTTGGACGTGAAAAACAAGTAAACGGTTTTGGACTCTTGGTGCAAAACCACTTTCCTTACATCTTTGCGGAAAGCACTTCAAACATTAAAGCGTGTCTGAAAACTAGAAAAAGTATAACTTGATTGAGTAAAAAAGAATTCACAAACGACACAGTCATCATTTTGTAGAAATTTCTTCTTACTTTCTTCCCCATTGGCAAAGGAAATTTTTAATTAATTTAAACCAGAAAAAAAAACTCTTTTTTGTAATTTGGACATAAAGAGTTCGCATAATCTTATCAGAGACCGGGGGGGGGGGAAGTAAAATTTTAATAAAGGCTTTTAATGAGATTTAATTTCAGTCAAAATTTTTAAAATTTTATAGTATATGTGAAAGATTGAAATGATATTAAGAAATTAGCTGAAATAATTTTATTGTCTCTAATAAAATTAGGCATATAAAGAATTTGTGTAAAAAAATTAATAATTAATACATAAAAAATAAACAATTGATATTGGTATAATTTACAACTCTCATTAACAGTATTTTTCTATACGAGTTATTCATGCCTATAGTTTTATCAAGTGCCATAAAATCATTTTAATCCAACATATAAGTAGTAAAATTTCTGAATTTTAAGAGCTTGGACTGAAATTAAATTACATCAAGGATCCCTCACTGAAACTTTTCAAAAAGAAAAATTCATATTCATATTTAAAGAATTTCAAGGCTTTCTAAAATTTTTTTCATTACTTTAAACAAGAAAAGTGAAAAACCTAGAAAAGAAGTGATGTTGGGTTGTAGTGGGACAAAAGTTTTTCATCATTTCGTGAATTTCCACCGACAATTTTAATAAGAAATTTCCACCGACAGTTTTAACTCGTAATAGACTCATTGGCTCATTTTTCTACTTCCCGGAAATTTCCGTGTTAACATAAATTTGAACAAAGGCTCAATCCTCAGACTTCTTTTTCTCTTGTATCGAACTAATTCCCAGTATAAGCAAACTCTCCAAATCAACTTCGAGTCTTCAACCTTTGATTTGATTTGATTTAGTCACTCCCACCAAGGTATTCTTCATCTGATCTTTCTCCTTCATTCTCTCACAACTTCAACGGTATTCTTTCTTTTTTGTCAAGAAAAAATCAACAAACTTTAAAACTATTTTGTTTTTGGTGCCTCAGAAATGGCTGCGTTTGCTTCTGCTCCTACTTCTCCTTCCCAAGAGAAATATGTTGTTTTTGTCAGCTTTAGAGGTCCAGATGTCAGATTTGGTTTTCTCAGCCATTTGGAAAAGGAGCTGCATCGGAAGGGGGTAGACGTCTATGTGGATGAGGATGACAGGCTGGAGAAAGGGCATGAAATATTGCCTGCACTTGAGAAAGCCATAGAAGAATCAATGATTGCGTTGGTCATATTCTCAAAAGATTATGCTTCTTCAAAGTGGAGCTTGCAAGAGCTTGTCAAAATCATGAAACGCAAGGAAGCGAGTCAACAGATTGTGATTCCAATTTTTTACGATGTAGATCCAACAGATGTCAGGCATCAAAAAGGCACTTATGCAAAATCATTTTATGATCATGACCATCAGTTCAAGGAAAACACGGATAACTTGCAAATTTGGAGGGGTGTCTTGCAGCAAACTGCAAACTTATCTGGTTTTCATTCATCAAATAATTATCAGTAAGTTTTGGTTATTCGATACATCATTTTATAGAGTTTCTCAACATTATTTTTAGTTCCCCCAAAATGATTTAGAATCTAGTAATCTCAAATTATGTTTGAGCATTTATTAATTGTTTTTATCATGGCCCGTAGCTTGTAATTTTGTTTTCATTTATTTTTAATATGCTAGAAGAGAATCACAGCTCATTGATGCAATAGTCCAAGATGTCCTAAAAAAATTGGAAGATAACAACCTAGTTGCGCCACAATCCCAGCTTGTTGGATTTCATTACGATCTCGACATTGTTGAATCATTAATGAAAATTACATCACAAGAAGTTCGAGTTCTTGGCATTTGGGGTGTTGGTGGGATAGGCAAAACAACCCTGGCTCGAGCTATATTTGACAAATTCTATTCTCAATTTGAAAGTTGTTGCTTCATAGAAAATGTGAGAGAGGAATCAACAAAGAGCAATGGTTTGAGTGATTTGCGTCAAAAGCTTCTTTCTAAGCTATTAGACCAAGATGCAGGTCTCCCCATAGATATGAATTATGCAAGGAGAAGGCTGTCACGAAAAAGAGTCTTGATTGTGCTTGATGATGTATCCAATTCAAAGCAATTAAAAGATCTAGCTGGACAACAACTTTGCTTGGGGCGTGGCAGCAGAGTAATTGTAACAAGTAGAGACAAGCATGTTTTTAGGAGTGGAGGGATTCATGATGAATATATACATGAAGTTGAGGAGTTGGGTTTTGAAGAATCACTAAAACTTTTTTGTGTACATGCCTTCAATCAAACTCACCCCAATATGGGATATGAAAGGCTATCACAAATGACAGTTGCCTATGCTAAAGGCATTCCTCTAGCTTTAGAAGTTTGGGTTCCCATTTTCGTTCTAGAGATAAGGCATACTGGGAAAGTGAGCTTGAGAAACTCAGAAAGTGTCCCTATCCAGAAATTCAAAATATATTGAAAGTTAGTTATGATGGATTAGATGACATGGATAAGGAAATATTTTTAGACATTGCATTTTTTTTCATTGGAGAAGAAAAATATAGCGTTACTCAGGCGCTAAAAGCTTGTGGTTTCAAAGCAATTAGTGGAATCCAAAATCTCATGGATAAATCTCTCATAAAACCAGGTTGGCTGCATGATGAAAATATTGAAATGCATGATTTGATACGACAAGTGGCTGAGCAAATAGTTCGTGTGGAATGTAAGAAAGATCCTGCATTATGTAGCCGATTAAATGATGCGGATGAAATTTGTAATGTATTGCAAAGGAACAAGGTAAGTGAAATATATATCAATTTTTATTTTTATCCTTTTGGAATAACTTTTTTAAATAATTAATATTATTTTTATTTTTTTTTCAGGGAACTGATAAAATTGAAGGCATCATATTAGATTGGAATAGAATAAATCATTTACGATTGAGCCCTAATACCTTCACAAAGATGAAAAATTTAAGAATTCTCAAAATTTTTTGTCCTAGGTTTCGATACTATGATGCAAATAATTCAGAGCTTCCTTTTGATCTTGGCTCTTTTCCTAGTAAATTAAGTTATTTTCATTGGGATTATATCCGTTGGAGTCTTTGCCATTAGAAGGCTATTGTTTTGAGAACCTTGGTGTGCTACGCATGCAATGCAGCAATATTAAAAAGCTTTGGGATAGAGTGCAGGTACTTATATATATGCACTAATTGATATGTGTGTGTGTGTTAAATTTAATTAAATTATTAGGCTTCTATGCTTAAAATTTTTTCCGTTTCCATTGTCACAGGATCTTGTGAATTTAAAGATATTAGATTTGAGGGGGTCTAGACAGTTGATGGAGCTACCTGATTTCTCTAGGGCACATAATCTTGAAGAAGTATACCTCTCAAAATGTGAAAGTTTACATAGTGTTCATCCATCTATTTTTTGTCTTCAATCTCTTGTTGCATTGTATGTATTTTATTGCAGGAAATTAGAGAGTCTTGATCATGGCTCTTTTCCTAATAAATTAAGGTATCTTTCTTGGGAACAATATCCATTGGAGTCTTTGCCGTTGGGCTTTTGTGCTGAGAACCTTGTTGAACTTCGTATGGAAGACAGCAATATTAAAAAGCTTTGGGATGGAGTGCAGGTACTTATACACACACACTAATTAATATGTCTCTCTCTCTCTCTCTCTCTTCAATTTAATTAAATTGTTAGCTTTTATGTGTCAAACTTTTCTGTTCATTGTCATAGGATCTTGTGAATCTAAAGACATTAAGTTTGCCTGGGTGTAAACAATTGGTGGAGCTGCCTAATTTCTCTATGGCACTTAATCTTAAAACAGTCGATCTTCAGGGTTGTGAAAGTCTACATAGTGTTCATCCATCTATTTTATCTCTTCAATCTCTTGTTAGATTGGATGTCTTTAATTGCAGGAAATTAGAGAGTCTTGAAAGTGAGACTCATTTAAAATCTCTCTCTTACCTTAGTGTTCAACATTGTCTAAGCCTCGAGAAATTCTGTTTGTCATCAAAGAAATTGGGAAGTTTGCGTTTTCGTGCGACTGGAGTTAAAATATTGCATTTGCTGTCAATGGGAGGTTTCACGGAACTCAGAGAGCTTGCTATTGAAAATGGTAAAAGATTAAGGAGCCTTCCGATAAGTGAGCTATGTGGCTTGACAAATCTTAGGAAATTTGAACTTTATAATTTCCAGCAGGTGATTCACACCACAGAGCTGCGCTCTCTTTTTGACGCTTGGGATGATTTAGAAGAACTAGTTTTGCATAGATGCAATTACTTGCTGGAAATCCCCGACAATATCCAGGCCACAACAAGCTTGAAACGCATGTTCTTGAGAGACTGCAAGAGGCTTAAGTCTATACTTGGATTTCCTCCCTTCCTTCAAGAATTAGATGCTGGAGGATGCACTTCATTGGAGATCGTATACGCTGACTCTCTAGTTCAAAATCAGTGTCGATTTCATTTCGACGAGTGTATAAAGTTGGATGAGCGTTCTCTTCAATTCATTGAGGAACTAACTCATTTCTCTTTGACTTTATCTTGTGAGCATCCGTGGTTCTGTCGTTTATCGGCTTGTTACCCGGGAATTAGAGTTCCAAAATGGATAGAATATAAACATCAGACAGAGGCTTCCAATGCTATCGAATTCATTTGCAATCTCGAACGATCACCCACCATCTTGTGTTGCTGCGTTGTTCCTACTCATCTCTACTTACCTTTCGTGCGGCGGATCTACTGTGATTTCTCTTATGATGATAACAACAAATTTCGCAGTGCAGTTTCTTATTTTTCCACGGCTAAAATGGAGTTGGCTCGTGTTTACATATGGCACATGGACTTGGAAGACGTTTCATTTGGCGCTGGAACAGGTGATGTTGCCAAGATTTCATGTGAATTCTATGCGGACTATAATGATGGTGTTGATTTTTTTGATGGAGAGGTAGAGACAGTTCCAATGAAAGCATGTGGAGTACACGTGACATATAACTCACAGTCGGACTCTGGTGAAGAACGACTCCGTCCAACATTTAATCCATATGTACTTTGGGTGCGAACACGTTGGAACTGAAATTTATGCGCAAGAGCAAACGAAAGCATCACCACCCACACATACAGTTTCTTTGATATATCTTTACAGGTATCTCTCCCTTCCTTGCTTTTTATTTATAAGCTTACCTTCACTACTATTATCTTAAAATCACTCTTGATTAAAAAACAAAAAAGTAATTAGATATTTCTTCTATGCTTATATATACTAAATCAAAGTGGTAATTTTTTTTTACAATATTGTATTTATTATTTCAATATTTACACCTTATTGAAGAAATAAGTATACCTTTTTCCAAATTTCATCCATTTTTTTTGAACAATTCTTTAATGTGTGTGTGTGTGTTTTGTTTATTATTTCTCTACATAGTTTTTATACAGTGTAGTGCTCTAACGTGTATAATAACTATTGTAGATTATACCGACAACACACACAAAACAACACACACACACATATATTTGTTGGAGATAGATGTAAATTTTTTTATGAGAGTGTACTTTTGCTATCAACTTTGTTTTATTTTTCTATTTATTGATTGATCCTGTATTTACATTTTATTTGTGAGGATAATATTTTCTGAATCATCAAATTGTTCTATATAATTTTCATACACTCCTGATAACAAATTCTAAAGTAATATGTGTGATTATAAAATAGGTTGTTTTTGGAATAAAATAAACTTTTGTTTATTTATAGTATGTGAAACTTTTGTGAAATTAATGAGGCTATTTACGTATGAAAACTTTTTACAACTTTTGAAGATTACGTTTAATCAAATTACATCTGTTAGTTAAACCAAAAGTGAAATAAACAAATGTATTTTTTAAGATTATTCAACTGCTTCATTTAATTCCGTAAAACTCTAGTATATCATCAACTAATAGGTAAGTGCATTTTCGGGCCAAAACAAAAACAAGGTATAGGTAAGATCTCGTAAATAGGATTGGAGGAAGTAAAAGAGCAAAACACAAAGCTTGTTGATGGTATTTCAATTTATGTAAGATGTGAAGTCTTAACAGACCACCCTAGGCTAAGCTTAAGCTGATTTGTCCATTATCATTTCTTGTTTGCAGTGTCTCTTTTATGACTAATAAATAAATCTTCATCATTTTTTACGGTATAATTTTGTTGCCTTGCTCTGTTTTGAGAGGTGTGTTAGTCTGAGCATGACTTATAATTGAGAGTTTGTAAATGACAGCTGAAATTTTATGATTTTTGTCAGTTAACATATTTTGAATATTCTATTTCGTGACCTGACTGAGACTTTGTCTTTGTGCTAATTTGTCTTGCTCTTTCCCCTAACATGTGAAAATAAATTTGTGCTCATTCTATTCAATGTGCCTGAAATTTCAATCATTCTTTTGCATAGTGTAGAGTGGATTAAAATTCTGTTGGCCTAAAACTGCCCTTTTTTAACACCAGAATTGTGTCTTAATTTTGGGATAATGAAATTTTGAGTATTTCAAATTTGCTTTATTATCAATTTGGTCTTTCAGGTTTAATTTTTATGAATTTGGTTCATTAAGTTGTTTTAATTATTGAATTAGTCTTTATTGTGTAAGTGGGAGGTAACAATGTAAAACTTTGCCGACATAAATAACAAAATTGAAAAATGAAATTATTTAGATAGAAAAAAAAGACTCAAATTTTTTTTAAAAAAAATAAAAGAACAAAATGTTGTATGAGGAACTAGATTAATAAAAATTAAACTAATTTGAAAGTTAATTTATTTTCATTTACTTATACATATTAAGTTATTAAAATACTTCATATATTAATTTGAAATAAGAAAACACCAAGAAGGAAAGTGTAATATATTGTTCACAAAACCCAAGGCTAATTATTCCTTATATAGGGAAGATGCTGAAAACTCTAGAGCTTTATACAGAGGCCACGTGTACAATGAATGATGAACAATAACAAATGAATACAATCAGATGGATTCTCAATTCTAGTGGGCTCAACTCTTTGGTCCATGTGTTATTATCTTGGGCTTAAGTTTGTTGGGCTGAACCTTGTTCTTAGACTTCATTAATGTTTTGACAGAATAAATTTGTGTTTTAAAACGTAACTAATAAAATGATAATTTAAAAAAAATATAAAAAATAAATAAATCAAAATTAGACTTAAAAAACTAAATCAATAATGGAGAAAAATTTGACGGATTAAAAATTTTATTATCTCTTTAATTTTTGTTCTTCAGCTTTGATTATCATGAAGAAAATTTCAAAATATTTATTTTGCTCCTTATCCTTACCTTGATATAATATTTAATGCCTCTCTTTTTTCGCAGTCCAGTAATGCATTGCTGTCAACTTCCTTGAATCCTTGTTTGTTGATCAATTTGTGTGGCTTGGCAAATCTGGTGTATTTCTTCAATTGTTTTTTGGCCCCCTGACATGGATATATTTGGTTTGTGCAATGCAGTTGCTTCTTGTCCCAAGAGCAAGTCCAAAATGCAATGGTGAAGAGTCTTTTTGCTAATGATCGTTGAGGTGTCTTTGACATGTGAATCATATGTAACAAGAGTACCATTTTTGTGACACTTTCATATTTAATTTTCTTATAGCAGAAACATCATTATCTCATTTCCTCAACTAGCCGTTGCATGTGAGTATTGTATAGTCTTTTTATATGGAACAAACCAATGATTCATTTTGATTTATATATTGTCAAATCCTAGTTTTTAAAACTTTCCCAATACAATTGGGAGCGATATAGTTCAGGAGAAATGAAAATTGTAGCCCATAGATTAAAATTCACAAATTATTCACCGGATTACTACTTATTTGGTAAGTCTAGAATTTTTACTAAACTTTAAAAATTCATAACTAAATTTAGAAAATTCATATCTTGAAAGCTATTAAAGTCATTTAAGTGATAAAAATACATTTTAAACCCTTTTTAGTTTCAAATAGTACATTTTATTCATTTTTTTAAATTTGCTCTATTTCTTTGACAAAATCTATGCCATAATTTGAAAAATTCATAACTCAAGTTGTGCATGTCCAAATGATCTGATTTAGGACTTTTTAGAAATCTATATATGTCAAGTTTTATCATAAAAATTCTCATGAGCATTGAATATGGGTTATTATACATTAAATAATAAAACAGTGACCCTCCTATAAAAGAGTTTAAGCTAAACAATCACAATCATACATATTAAAATCATGATTTCAAGGCTAGTTTAGGACTCTATATTAGCCATCATACATCATCACATATCACTTATGCATACCAAAGCCTTATCATAAATTTACAATGTTTATAGACTTATTTATATATTTCTCATTTTTATAAAATTAATGCCATAGAAAAAATTATTTTTCCTATTCTACTTACATTTGCTTCTTGCTCTAGCTCTTCCTTTTGAGGCTTATAATCTAACATGGCTAGTCATTGGGGGTGAGATTCGAGAGAACTTTAGTAGTAAATAATATCATTCAAGCATATGAGGCATAAATTTCATACATAACATATACTTGCATTACATGACTTCATAACTAATATATTAACATGTTAAATGCTCATACATCATATATGGGCCATGAAATACTTAAAAACAGAGTTTTAAACATTCATTCATAATTCATAGAATCAAAGAAACTAATCATACATAAAATCATGCAAGCATAAATACCAAGCATGCAATGAAGGGTAAGTTTATTACCTTAGATTTACTATTTCTTCTTTGTTTTCCTTATGTCCATTTGACCCCCCATGACTAAACCTCCAATTCTTTTGCCATGACACTTATTGACCCTAAATATTTTTCTATAGAATATTTATGACAATTGTTAGAGCCAATAATTACATTATCAATAAATGACAACTTACTCTTATTTAATTCTTGCTTTCATTATCTTAAGTTTTTACTTTATTTTTCATTTGACATAAAATTCTTGTACCAATATTTTTCCACTCAATTTTTCATAAAGAACTCATTTTTAAACTCAAATTTGACCAATTTTAACTCCTTCCTTTTGAACCATCCTTGATAGTAACTATGGGTATTTGAGATCTTAAATTATGGTTTCTTCCCAGCTATTTTCATGCTTTATATGTATGTGTCTCAAGGCTAGGTTCTAAATCATATTTCATAAACTTAAATACTTAACTAATAATAGCCCAAATCTTTAGAAAATTGGGTAGCATTTTCCTTTGAAAATTAGCCATCCAAAAATTATATCAAGCTTAAAATCAAGCTACCATTCATTAATAATCATCTCTATAATCATTTCTAAGCCATTTTATATCATTTAATCATCAAAATATCAAGCCTTATTATCTTTAGAAAAACAGGGCAGCATCTCATCATCATGAAAACTCAAGAAAAAATTATGAAAAATAGCTCAAAAAGAAGCTCTTCCATACCTCTTCTCAATGCTCTAACTTATTCTTGCTTTCTTCATTACTTCCTCCATCTATGCCACTTCAAACTCATCCTCTTGAAAAACTAAAACCATAGAAATGTTCCTCTTGATAAGAGGAACAACTTTTATGAAGAGACTTTGATATACAAATGTGGTTTTGATGGTAAGTTTGGTTGATTTTTCTTTTCTCTCCCTAAACCTCTCATGCGAATCCATGGAAGTAGCTTGCGAATTCTCTCTCTTCTCTCTCCTTGGTCTCACCTAAGTGATGAAATGAGGAAGAAGAAATGGGTGTGGTGGGTGTTTTTGTAAAAGATTGAACCAATTTTGATAATCTTTAGATTTCAAAATATCTAATTTCCCATTTTTATTCTAGCCAATATTTTAATCAATTTTGGACCACCTAAATGCCTTACTTCTTCCATTTCAGATCCAAATTGACGTCACTACTCCCTCCAAATGGGCTCAAAATGGGCTCTTGCTAAAATTAACTTTTTGACATAGGAAAAATTAGTGTTATCTTAACCTAATGCAATTTAAATTGTAACGTAATTCTTTTGACCAATTTCTAACCAATGAAATTAACATAATTCGTCCAAATATTTATTCCTTTTTATAAATTCATTTCCTTTAATTCTTCATGAATTTTGGGTTATTTTTTGTAATTGCACTTTAAGACCTCAAATTTTTAAAAATTACATTTGACTTCCGTTGAGCTTGATATTTTCATATCAACATTCAGTCTTATTCATTTTTAAATTTGGATACTTTTTAATACTCTCATTGTATTTAATTACATATAATTAACTTTAAATATTAATAATTACTATTTGGCTTCAGATAGGTTATTACTCTTAGTCATTTTTCTTTTCTTTCCTTTCTCGGCCTTAATAGTAGTTGAGATATCTAAGAAAAAGTTAAGGATACTCTCTCTATAATAGTTGTTCAAATTTAAGAGGTCTTGGTTTTTTAAACTTATCCTAGACCATCATCTTTTTAGAGAACTATTACATACACTAACTTTCTACTAGGTCTCTTACGACCAAAAGATCTAACTGCAATCTTGAGATCTAACTGTGATCTTGCTAAACCCTTTTTAGATCTATCATGATCCTTATAATCTAATTATGATTCTTCTCTAGAAAATTTAAGACATAAGGATAAAGTTATCAAATAACACTACCTCTATTTAATTTGACTACTTTACTGATTATTATCTAAGAGTAATCTTAGATACCTCTGTTGCCCTTTTAAACCTTAGTTTTTTTAGCCTATCCTGCATATTTCTAGACTTCAACTTGCTCATTTCTTTGTTCTGGGCACTACCTTGGAGTCTATAAAAATATTACGCTTCTGCCCAAGAAAGACTTTAAAATTACCATTTAGTTCCTAAGAACCATGCTTTCTTTTCAAGTTACCTTAAGTACCTTTGATTATTTGGGCTTAATAGTTTACTTAATTTTGGCATATTCTTTAGCTTCTAAGCCAAAAATTCATGATGTTACATATATCATTTAGTACACAACTCTATCATGTATACATACAAACGACCTTAAACCTGATCCACAAATTGCCAAAAAGGAGTTATAGATGCATTTTCTTGTTCCCTAAATTAGTCCAAAATTGCACTCCTAGTTACTATTCATGTCTTCCTCTCTTCCTCTCTACTCGGGCTCTTCATGTACCTATTTGAGGTTGACTAGTTAAGGACAAGGCCTATTTACTTCATCCATGTGCATATCATGACTATTTTTGGGCCTTTCAATATGTTGGATATGGACTTCTAATAGATCACTTAACCTTTTAATTCTTTCTCTTGTTATTGGGCCATTCAATAACATTGTTCCTTATAGTCTACAAGTTCATGGGTTGCAACAAAGTAATGTATAGTTCCAGGTAGTTCCATATGGATGGAAAATAGACTTGCTATAATTAAGAAGTCCAATTTCCTGGAAGCAACTTTTGTTTTCATTTGCAAAAATTATATTTTGAGGATTAATATTCTAATTTTTTTAAAAAAATAAGTTTTAAATAACCAAAACAAATGTATATCAAAATTGGGTTCGTTGAAGGCAATTGGGACGCACATGCTAATATGAGCCTAGCTCTTAGTAAAATATATAAGCTACTTGGTCTTTGCATTTTTAGGAATATGTTGTGATACAAATAATTCCTCCTTTCACTTATTCTATGAAGAAATACCAATCCGCCTTAATGTGTGCTTAATGATGGTCACAAAATTGATTAGCTGAAATTTTATTGGGAGTGTAGAAGAATTTCACTTTTCTCTCACTAACAAATATATTTGGCTTATGCAATTGCTTCCTAGTTGAGCCAAGTCCAAAAGAGGAAGAGATATTCTCACCTCTCATGATGTTTAATTAGCAAGGAGTGAATGGGCTCTCCTCTAGTGTTTTCCATGGGGAAGCTATTGACGAGTTCAATAATAGTTAGATCTGCCATTATTTGTTGAAGATATCGATAAAGTCAAGTGATTTTCTTGCTGTCAAGAAGCATATGATCACTAGTAGGAGAAGACCAATTGTTATTTTCATCAAGCCAAAAGAAAAGGGAAGGATTTGAAGGATTGAAAATTAGAAGAAGTGTCGAAAAGGCACCATAATAGAGAAAAAACTTTTCTACCCTGATGAATCAACCGATAATGAAAGTAATACAACTAGCTCATAAAAGTTAATTTAAGTTAGTGAATTCCATGACTGTGTACATGTAGTAGCTAAGTGGATGTCCAAATTAGAAATTTAAAAAACAATCCTCTATCCAATCACAGCTAGAAAATAAATTTAAAAAAATTCCTCTACATGTACAGTTAGCATCTTGACTTAGGTTTTTTTTTTTGAAAGAAAAATTCTTCTATATGTATACTTGGCAGCCTTACTCAAATTTTTGCAAAAAAAATCATCAATGTGGACACTTGACAAGCTGCCCTAATCCCAATAACTAAGGCTTATGATTGTTGTGAGAGATGGCAACTACTTATCTACATCTAAGTTAGGTTTTAGGATTGAGGTGATGTAGAGAAGGTAAAATGCCAAGATTGAGAGAGGGAGAGTAATTGTTCTTAAAAATAATTTGAGTCAGGTTGCTAAGTGTACATATGAAAGAATTTTTTTTTTCAATTTAATTTCTAATAATGATCAAAGAGAGATATTTTTTTCATTTTTGACTAAACATTCATTTAGATGCCACATGCACACACAGGTAGGATCCACTAACTTAAATTAATGTTCATATGTAGCGC